CAGCAGCAGCAGCAGCAGCAGCAGCACCAGCAGCAGCCGGAAGGAAGAAGCTGAGGCGTTCCTGGCCCTCAGGTCGGACGTGCGGGGAGCCTTGCGGTAAGTTCTGTTGCTGCTTCTCGCGCCTGTCTTTCGAGTCTTTTGCATAAACTTTTTCTTCTCTGTTTTAGTGCTTCAGTGCTTGCTGCTGCTGCTGGCAGCAGACTGCTTCCTGTTTCTCTCTCTCTTTACCTCTTTAAGGGTGTCTTTGCATTAGTGCTCTCTGCCAAGTCTGTTTTGCTGCTGCTTGGCTGTTGCTTCCTGCTGCTGCTGCTGCTGCTGCCTTGTCTGCTTTGCTTTCCGCTGGTTGCTCGCCGCGGCCTGCGCCTGAGCTGCTTGTCATCTGCTGCTGCTGCTGCTGTCGCTGCTGCTGCTGCTGCAGCAACCTTTTTGCCCCGGAGGGCCAGAGCGTGTACAGACTACACGACGGCCTGCTGCCGGACTTGACGACGACCGCGTTGTCTCTGCTGCGTGAGCGTCCCGAAGCAGCAGCAGCAGCAGCAGCAGGACAGCAGCAGCAGCAGCAGCAGTGGGCAGCATTTGAGTCCGTGCTGCATGCAATATCTGCTGTGGTTCATGCTGCGGACTGGCGGGCCAACGACTCGCTGCAGCAGCTGCTGCTGGGCCTGCTGTCGCCGGTGTCCAGCATGAGCGCCCCGGAGGGGTCAGGGGGAGCAGCAGCAACAGCAGAAGCAGCAGCAGCAGCAGGAGCAGCAGCAGCACCAGGAGCAGCAGCAGGAGTACCTTGGGTGCTGGGGTCTCACCGCGTGCTTCTGGGCTCCGCGCTGCAGCTGCTGGGCGCGCTGGACTGGTGGCTGCTGGAGCAGCCGCGGCTGCTGCCCACTGTCCTGCTGCTGCTGCAGCAGTCGCTGCTGCTGCCGCAAGCTTCCGAACAGTGCTTCCCCCTTTCTTCTAAAGAAGACCACTTAGGCTGCGTCTCGCTGCTGAAGCTTTGCTTAGCTTCCGAAGCTCCTGGCATTTGCTGCTGGGCGCAGCCGCTGCAGTCGCCGATCTCAACTCAGAGTTTCTGCAGCTTGGCAGTGCACTTGGTGGAGGTGGTCGCGGCCATTCCTGCTAGCAGCAGCAGCAGCAGCAGCAGCAGCAGCGGCGGCGGCAGGGGCGCGGAACCCGAAGACGCCCTCAGCAGGTGGGCAGCAGCACAGAGGCAGCTCTGCATGCAAAGCAGACACTGCGTTGTTGCTGTTGCAGGGAGGCTGCTTGCTGTTTCCTGCCGCATACACGTGGCGCAGCAGATGCAGCAGCTCGTGCTGCAGCAGCAGCAGCTGCAGCAGCAGCAGCTGCAGCAGCAGCAGCAGCAGCAGCAACAGGACCCCTACATGATTGTGGGGTTCTTCGTTAGTCGACATATGGAAATTCTGCGGGGCCTCGCAGAGCAGCTGCACGTGCAGCCCCTTGCTGCAGCAGCAGCTGCAGCAGCGCGGCCCCAAAAGCAGCTTGTTGCAGCAGCATGCACGTTCGTGCTGCAGTCTCTGGAAGCGTTTCTTTCTGCATGTCTGCAGCCGCTTCTAGAGCAGAGTGCAGCAGCAGCAAAACTCAACAGCGGGTTTAGCCTAGGCAGCATGTGCTGCGGCCGGCGGCCTGCGCCGGTGCGGGCTCTCGGCGGCAGCAGCCGACAGCAACAGCAGCAGCAGCAGCAGCAACAGCAGCAGCAGCAGCAGCAGCAGCAATCGCACTGTCCGCTACTTTCCTGCACCATACTAAAAAGGTTAGGATTTTATAGCGTGCGTCAACGAGCTGCACGGAGGCAGCAGCAGCAGCAGCAGCAGCTTCTCCAACAGCAGCAGCAGCAGCAGCAGCAGCCGGTCTTAGGAATAGACAGCCAGCTGGAGCAAACGATAGACGGGAGTGCACCAGCAGCAAATGCAGCAGCTGCTGCTGCTCTTGCTGCTGCTCATGGCCTCATGCGGCTGCTCGTGCTGCACCTTAACGAATCTGCACAGACACTCCGAACGCTAGTTGCTGCAGCAGCAACACTTGCTGGTGGCAAAAGCGGGCAAAGCCAACAAGTCCGTTGCTGCTGCTGTTGCTGCTGCTGCTTACGCTGCTGCTGCTGCTGCTGCTTAGGCTGCTGTTGCTGCGGATTACGCTGCTGCTGCCGCTGCTGTTTACGCTGCTGCTCTTCTTGCTACAGCAGCGGCGGGGAGGTGTTGCTGCAGTTGCTGCAGCTGAAGCAAAGGCTCATTCGTGTTTGCTGCTGCGTGTTCTGCTGCTGTAGCTGCAGATATCAAGTTTGGTCGGTGCATTGTCTTCCTTCTTGTCTTTTGGCCTCCATGCGGCGCTGCGCCTTGGGGGAGATGCTTCAGCAGCAGCAGCAAAAGGCCTCATTGCTGAGCTGCGGGCGCTGCTGCCACCTTGCCCGTAGAGGAAGCAGCAGCAGCAGCAGCAGCAGGAGCCGGCCTCATTGCTGAGCTGCGGGCGTTGCTGCCACCTTGCCCGTAGAGGAAGCAGCAGCAGCAGTAGCAGCAGCAGCAGTAGCCGAAAGGCCGGCTATTACGTTTTCCGTGGGTTTGCCTGCCTCCGCTGCGGCTCTTTTTTTAGAGGCACTGGCAGCAGCAGCAGCAGCAGCAGCAGGCGCGTACACAATGGCTTGAATCCGTGTTGAGCTCAGTTGTATGTCTTTTGGAAGGCAGCAGGTATTGGTGTGCTAGGTGAGCAGCAAAATGCCCCCGTAAACAGCCCATAGGGCTACTAGCAGCAGCAGCAGCAGCAGCAGCAGCGCCTTGTGCTGCTTTTGCTGCTGCCTGTATATGTGTCCAAGTAAAATATGGAGTGCAGTTCTGCGTATTTGACAGCCGCGCACCGTCTCCAGCAGCAGCAGCAGCAGCGGCTGCTGCTGCTACTGCTGCTGGTGCAGCAGCAGCGGCTTGGCCGCAGGAAAGTTTATGTGTTTTTGTCACGTTCTTGACCATCTAGTTTAACTCGGGGAGCAGCTTTTCTCTCTAGCCCCCTAGGGGAACACTCAA